TTGGCCTGGCAGAGGAGAGGGGTCTGCTGGGCAGCTGGTGTGTGCCAGCTGGCAGCCCTTGCTCTTCCTCCCGTGTGAATCCAGGCGTTCCCAGGCTGGCTGGAGCTGAGGCTGATTTCTGAGCAGGTTTGAGGACTTTGCTGCTCTCCTGGGACAGGCGTGTCTGTCGCTCGGAGGACACGGAGCGGAGCAGGTCCGGTCTGCTGCCCGTGTTGGGAGGGAAAATCCAGTTTCCTCCATGTCAATGAGCACAAAGTGATTCTTATTCTACCAGAAGGTGGTTTGCATGCTGCTCAAAGCTGTGGAAGAAATGTGTGGAGTTTCTTTCCCTGACTTTGGTATGCCTTTTCCAGCTTTTAGTAAGAGCCAGTTGGAAGAGCTGTGAGGACTCGTGACCCTTCCCGTTGCTTGTGGTCTTTGAAGATGACAATGGGCTGTCTCTTCTCAATTCATTCTCTTTGGCATGGTGTGCATTTTCTTTTCAAAATGTGCTTACCAAAACAAAGATTTTTAACTTCTGCATTCACTGTGTCAATTTTACCTTGTGTGTGTTTAGTTTATCCATGTTATTGCTGCAATAACTGTCAGCTAAAGATACCTAACTTTTCCCTCCTCCTGATTTTCCCCATTTTAGAGGACTGTTCTGGAAGTGAAACGTTGATTCTGAGTGAAGACTGTGATGCCTCTGTCCCAGTTTGAGTGCAAGTCCTTGTCCTAGTTTGAGGTAGTCCTTAGCTCTTGAGTCTGTACCAGCAGGAGTATTAAAGCAGCAGGTGCCAACCTGTGCTGGCTGTGGTCTGCATGGCGTTGGGCATGGCTCGGCCCGAGGCACTGTCTGTGGGCAGTGGCAGTGCACAGCACTCCAGCTCTGGGTCACAGCAGCCTCTCCTTTCTGACAGACTCGTGGTCAGTTCTGCAGAGAACTCCAGTGCATTTCGAGCATCACCTTCTAAGAGGTGATGTGCCCTTTGCCAACAGGTGCTCATGGAGTATATTTTTTGCTTAGGAACAAAGGTTTTATGGGTGTGAGCTTCTGGTGAAGAACAGGGTTTAGGAATAGATGCCTTAAATTAAACTTATTATAGGGTGACTTTGGAAAAAGCCTCCACACTCACCTGTGAAACCCAAAGCCATTTCATCTTTCACTTAGAGCAGCTTTCAAATCCTGACCTTTAAACACACTGTAAATGTCAAATTCTGTAAAACTACAGGAGTGTTAGTTCTGCTTTCTTCATGGAGTCAAAAGCCAGATAAGCTGTGCTTGATCTGGGATCAAACAGGCGATCGGTGCCAATATCCAGACCAGTCCGTCGTGACAGGACTTTGATCTGGTTGCTGGACTAGACCTTTTTTTGCCTTCTTGAACATTCTTTATAAATAATGTTTTCTGTTTCGTGTATTTTGATGGTGATACAGAATATAAATATTGCTTTCAGTGCTGAATAGGAAGACTAAATGTTGCAAGGCCCATGGATGAGTGGCTGAGATGATGGCCTTGAACTCCTCCTGCAGTTAGTTGTACCCAGTGCAAGTGCTGGCCCAAAGTCACTGACCCAGTGTCACTGTCCTTTTCCCTACGTACTCAAACTCCATAAAAGTGAGTGCAGTGTCTGGAAGTTCTCGCTCTGTCAGGGTGTTTGGTCTCTGTTTCACATGTGTGGAAGCAGATGTTGGTGCCATGCAGTGCAGAATTGGTTGAGTAAGTCAAACCCTCTCTGAGACACAGTGAGGACAGCAGAGTTTGCCCAGCAGGTCTGTAGTCGGTGTCCTCGGACCGTGTCTGAGCCAGCAGTCCTCACGGGTGGGATTTACACCTTCAGCACTGCAGGTCTTGGAGCTAAGAGTTGGGTGTTCCACCACAGTCCTCTTGCCCAGCAGTAATCTGTAGTAGATGCAGGCTTTGAGCCTAATGGAGCAAAGTAAAATAGCTGAAATTCCAACCCACATTTTCCCTAGCTCAGATGGAAGGAAATAAAAGCTGTCCCGAGGAACAGATGGTGTTGCTGCAGGCTGCTTTTTGCATCTGACCCCAACTTATTTTCAGCTTTGAAACCTGAACCTGCTGTTCTTGGATGTCTTCAGTAATTTTTCTTTATTAAAACAAGTTGTTCCATGAGCAGCAGAACTAGTAAAGCTTCATTTCCTCTGGATTCTTGTCCTGAGCACCCAGCCCACCCCTCGGGGCTGCGCTGGGGGTTTGAAGTGTGTGCTGGTCGGGCAGCTGGCGCTGGCTCTGGCTCGTGTGCCGTTTCCAGAGCTGCCTTTTCCTCCAGCAAGGACTCCCCAGACACTGAGCGCTGGTTTGGACCAGCAGAGCAGGGAGAAAGGCCATTTTGCAGGCTCTGTGTGTCCTGTGCTGTACCTGAGTGTGCCTCATCCCGGGGAATCCTGGTGTGTGACTGACTGGCTTTGTTTTCACACCTGCAGATGGAACAGTTGGTGCTGGTGCTCTCCTGCCCCTGTTGATAGGTTCAGTAGGATCCTCCCTGTACTCTGAGGATTGATTGCAGCACAGGCTCCATGTGCAGCATTTCCAGTGCCTGGGGGGAACGTGTGCCCAAATCAATCGTGCTGCCTCTGCACACTCACTGTTGTGGCCCAGGAGGGTGGAGGATTCTCAGTCCTTTTACTACTGAGGAGAAAACTCCTGAGTCATCTGCTGCAAATTAAGGTTTAGACTCTGCTTCAGTCCTGATGATCCTGTGACTGTGCTGTGGCTCTCCAAGAACATGCTCCTTGTCCTGCAGTGGTGGATGAATTGGGAGGGTGCTGAGGGGGTGGCCCATAGGAGAGCAGGAGCTGTGGAGTTTGCCCAGAGCTCATTCCTGACCTGTTAGTGATAACAGCTACTGTTTATTTTCTTGGGTATCTTGGGCTATTTACAACTGCACATGATAAGTTCACATGTACAGCAAACCTCATTGCTGTTTTGAGTTGTCTAATGATGATTTAACATGATTTTCTACAGCACATGTTTGTCTTGGCATTGGTGTTTGTGCCTTTTTGGGCAAGTAGGACTAGGCAGGACAGAGGAGGAGGATCCTGGTTTGCAGACAGTGTTATTTCTGTCACCTCTCTCTCTGCCAGCACAGAAGGAAGGGCTCCTCACCTGCCTCTGCTGCTTCAAGCACAGTTCTGGAGCTGGGGATGAACTGCCTGGGAGACTGTCTGGGCAGGATTCATCCTTGGTTTCCAGGCTGGCTGGTTGCCTGGAGATAAATTTATTTCTAGTGAAGCTCAAGAGTTTACTAAACCATCACAAAGGCTTTTGATTCGGTGCCTACAGGTGAGTAAGGAGAACAGAATTTCAACAGCCTTCTCCAGGAGCCAGCGAAGAAAATTGGCTCAAGACAGTTATTTACCAGAACTGCTTGATTACCCTTCACCTTTTAATGCATTTATGTCCCTGTGTTGTAAAGTGGAAGCCTTGTGTTCCTCCCTGTGCTGCTGCTGGCTGAGCAAGAAAATGCACCTCACCCTGGGGCTGCCGAAGGAGTTCCTGGAAGGAAATGCATGCGAAGCATTTGCCCTGCAGCTCGCCCAGGCCAGCAGCACCAGTGTGCCAGGCCAGCAGAGCCACTCGCCCACAAAGGTCAGGCCTGGCCCAGCGCACGCAGACGCTGACCTGCCTGGAATTGCTGTGTGGTCCAGAAAGCACCACGTGGTGCACCTCTGGGCTGAGCAGGAGCTCAGAAATACTGATGAGACCATACATTTCCTGTCCAAAAAAAGGAAAAGCTCCTTCCTAGAAGTGGAGGTCAGAGCGTGTGTTGCTGAGAGGGTTTATAGGTTTCTGTGAGTGCTTGTTGTGAGGGAGCTACAAACCCTTTGTCCCTGGGCAGTACAGTGTCAGTGGAGTGGGGTGTGCTATCTGTGTATGTTCATTCAGTGGGCTGGAACCTCACTAGGAAAACCTTCTCACGAGTGAAAGTTCTTCCTTTCCGAAGGCACGTGACTGTGCAGCAGCTGGTTGGTAGGGCAGAGAATGTGTCTTATCATTAGCATCACCCAAACATCTTTTTTTTTGGGGTGAAAACCACCTGCCATAGTGGGCTCTCGGTGCCTCCGGGGGCAGTGCCCCCCGGGCTGGTGGGATGTGTTCCGGCGCCGGCTGCACCTCCCAGCCCAGGCTGTGTGGGTTGGTTCAGACCTGTTAAGTCATGGAATGAGGTCTCATCTTGTCATTCCAACCACTGGCAGTGGTGGAAAGGAGGGAGTGTAAATTCCTGGGGGAGAAGGGAGGGTGTGGGGGCAGAGGAGTGCGCTGGAGTTCGTGTGGTGTGGCACAGGGAGCCAGGCCCAGCGCTGGGAGGGAGAGCAGGTACCAAACCTGGCACCAGGTGGGGTGAAGGGGCAGGTCCTCAGTAGTGTTCAAACAAACAAAACTGTAGCTTAGATCTTCTCTTGCTTTGTGTCTCTGCTCGAGTCAAGAGTCTTATCTCAGTGCTCATCCACACTTGGAGTTATATCCCAAATCCTCCTGTTGCTGCTGCCGAGGCCTCATCACACACTGGAGTATTTTGTGTTTGTATTGGCTTGTTTCAAGGGTGTGCAGGACATCCCTGAAATTCCTGGGAGTTGTGGTGCTTTGGGGTGTAAGTGGTTGTCTTACACAAAGTTATTTTCTTAAACTGTAGCTTTGGAAGGGGTAAAACTGCCAAAGGCAGTGTTGTGTGCCCAGGCTGTAACAGCCCTCAGAGGAGGTGCTGGTCACGAGAAGTGTGTTGGCATGCAAGGAGCAGCTCCTCAAATCTTTCATTTTCCTCCAGATTGAATTCAAAATTGTTTGAATATAGAAAAAGCCCAAACAATCCTGGGAATGCTTGGATGGTTAGTGATTGGGATGCAGTTGTGTTGTCTTGTGACTGTGTTGGGTTAAGATGAGCAGACTTGTAGAGCGTTTGCTTCCTGTCCCGAAGGAACTGTCCTGCACAGCGGATGGGAAACACATCCGGAGCTGTTGCTAAAGCATGTTTCTTTTCTCTTTGAACTTCCCCCAGGCTGGAGTGAAAGGGACGTTAGGAAGATTAGTGGGAATTTTCGAGGTAAGTTGCAGATGTTGATGCTGTGCAATTTGTCTTGGGGCAGCAGTGTCTTTGCAGCGTGCGGTGCAGGAGCTGGGGCTGGCTGGGAGGGAGCTGTGCTGTGCAGGTTGTGTGCTCCTGTGGTGCACAGCCACACCTGCTGGGTGCTGGGGAGGGGCACGGTCAGCGGGTTGTTCCGTGACTGGCTCTTTCAGAGTCGTGTGAAACACATCAGAATGTTCCCTGTGGTTTATCTCCCAGCTGAGGAGCTGATTGTAAGCACATCAGTCCACCAACCGCTGCCCTACAGCTCAGAGCTACACTGTGGGCTCCAGGCCCTGTTCACACTTTCAGAGCTCTCATTTAAAGCACAACAGGATTTAGAAGCTAAGGACAAGCTGTAATGTGAGAGGAACCTCCCCAAGGTGCAGCATCGTGGCTGGAGCTCACGGCCTGCAGTCACCCCGTGCCCTCCTGCCTGGGGAGGTTTGGTGTTATGTGTTCCCTTTGCCTTCCAGAACCGCGACAGGAAGCACAGGACATATGTTTACGTTCTTATCGTCACGGAAGTGTTGGAGGACTGGGAGGACTCTGTCAATATTGGTAAGCTTTGGGTTTGCTGCTGTTTGCTGCTTTGATGCAGACAAACCATGTCAGCTCAGCATCCCTCTGGGACCCTGAATTCGGGTGAGAATGGTCAGGGGGAGTCACAGTGGTGTGTCCTTCGGTTGCTTGGGAAAAAGATCTATGGCCAGATTGATGCTTTTGTCACCCCTGGCCCAAGGGAAGCCAAATAACTGTCCAGCTGCTCTGCAGCAGTTTTGTGTGTAGTTCTTGCACTGAAAGGTATGAGCAAAGAGACCAGAGAAGACACCTGTGTGCAGTGGGGGTTAATCATTCCCTGCTCTCTCTGAAACCTTTGCATTTAAATCGGGTTCCCAAATGGAAATGAACCAGTTGTTCCCACCAGGTTTGCATTGTGCTGCAGCAGCTGGAACTGGCTCTCCTCAGGATGTGTATGGAAGAGGTTTATGGGAGGAGTGAGAACTGAGAGCTGTCCACAGAGCATTGAAGTTCACTCGCAAACTGGCTGAAATTGGGGGGTGGTTGGTGTGTTAGGGTTGTCCTGCAATGAGTATTGAGGAAGGTGAGGAAAGGCAAGAGAAGGGATGTAGTGCCCTAAACAAACACCTGTTCTGGGGATGGGGAGCTGTCAGTGTGGGAGGCCCTGGAGATCAGAGAATCCCAGGAGACAATTTCCCAGAGTGAAGTGACTCCTGCAGCCTTGGTG